AAAACAGATAGATTATAACTTGTTGTTCAGAAATATTCGACACTTTTATTTTGAAATAAGAACAAATTAGTTCAGCGAAGAGTCTCTTTTCGGCGAATTCATTCGCTTAGCTGTACAGTCGCAAATATATGTACAATTATTTTGTGTGTGTGTGTGTACATTAGGTTTGTCAAAATCAAAATAACAGTTAGTGTGGGTTGTTGATTATATCATCAAAATAATAAAGTTAAAATGTGTGATTAATAATCAAAGTTGTAACTAAGTGGGGTGAAGATTGGTAAGATGTGAGTAGGGCTACGTAATATAGACATGTTTAGAAAGATTAGATGCTAGTGAAGGAGTTTGGAGACAATTATGAAAGTAAACTAGATAATAGGTGAAAAGACTGAATGGGTTAGTTACTAAAAATTGTTATACGAAGATTGCAAAAAATTTGATAATAAAATGTTGATGACAAATAAACTTGGAATTAAACCCACGGTAGTAGGAGGGGGTGGAGAAGTTTCTTCTGTGTGCATAACTCAGGCTTTTCCATCCAAATCGCTAAGACTTCAGCAGTACAAAGTATACGGAAGCTTGTCGATTTTGGAAGGCTTCTTTTGACTTTATAGATGACTTTGAACGACTTCTCCTTGCAAATCGAATGACCAGTGTTGAGTATATGCTCAATAATGGTGCTCCTTATTGCTCCGTTGTTACCTTTCCGTAGCCAGGCAGGATAGTGTTCTTGAACTCTTTTAGATAAAACACGCATCGGACGACCTATATACCTCGCTCCGCAAGAGCAGGTGAATTGGTAGATACACATGGAAGTGGTCAAATGCGATAGTTTATCTTTAGAGTAGTTGAAGAACAATGGCCGGGAGGAAAATGTCAGTCGTAGTGTGGCAGCGAAGAATGTCCTCCTGAGAGCAGTAGATATCCTCTTCTTCAAGGTGTCATCCAGAAGGTCACCTTTGGAGGGTACATTCATGTAGACCATCTTCTTATGTGCTGTAATGGGTTGTTCTTTGTACGTCTTAGGCTTAATGTGCTTGTCTATAAAACGGGGTGGGCAGCTATTCTCGAGCAGTGTCTTCCTTAAGAGGGCGATCTCTTCCTCTATTGATTCTGGACTACAGATTTTTCGGATTCTAGTCGCCAGAGATATTATCAAATTTCGCTTGCGACTTATTGGTACCCAACTGTAGAAGTTTGTCAACTGACCGTTCCATGTGGGTTTTCTGTGTACTGATCTGTTCAAGGTGCCATCGGTCCTCTTACTTAGACGAAGGTCCAGAAAGGAGACTGTCTCATTGGTTTCTACTTCGGTTGTAAATTTGATGGCAGGTTGGCAACTACTGAAAACTTGAAGAACAATATTTTGATCACAATTGTGATCGCAGATGACGAAAGTATCATCGACATACCTTTTGTATAAGAAGAATTTGTCGATGGTTGCTTTCAGCGGACCGTTTTCCAAACTTGCCATGAAAATATCAGCCAGCACCGGACCCAAAGGTGATCCCATCGCCACGCCATCTTTTTGTCTATAGAAGTTCCCATTGAATGTGAACTGGACATTTAGGGTACATCTGAGTAGGAGTTCTTTTAGCTTGGTGGTAGGTATTCCAATATCCAGGTTGTTTTCTTCCAAGTATTTGCATAGAAAACAAATCGTCTCAGTAATAGGGACGTTTGTAAAGAGAGACTCGAAGTCGAGTGAAATCATACGTTTGTCTCCCACTTTAACATCTTTGATGCAATCGATGAATTCAAAGGTATCCCGAAGGGAATGTTTTGAAATTCGTTCTCTGACAGGTTGTAGGAGTTCTGCTAGCCATTTCGCTATTGGATGATATGGAGATCCCGACATGTCCAAAATACGGCGCAGCGGAAGACCCTGTTTATGAGTTTTTGGCAATCCGTATAGTCAGGGTATTGTTGAACCTGTGGGTCGAATTATGAACACTAGTTTGATTGGGAGAATTTAGAAATTTTAAACAGCAGGAACACTAAAAGTGTCAGAGAATTTCTAGAAACCTGGTACTCAAGCGAATTAGTGACTAATAAACATACTAATAAATATAGACGAAATTTACCAGCTAATAAAAAGTAAATCACATGACAAGAAAGTTCAAATTCTAAGTCAATAAACGAATGAACAATAGAGATGTATATCAACTACCAGTCACGAAAATGGTTGCCAGGATACACAATTATATCATGAAGAATTTAAATGAGTTCATTTTTTGCTAAAACTTGCACTGAAGAGGGATGTTGTCCAGAAGGATGACGAAAGCTTTGAAATTAAATCAACCAGCTCAGAGAACACAACTAAGTGCACATGTGGTAAATGTTTTGAACGTCAGTAATAAAGATGATTATAATGATAACAAAATAATGGTGATAATAAGGTTTATGCACGTGGCGATAAGAATAACGAAGGTAATAATAATTTTTGTGTGTACGTAGACAATTCAATAAATAAATAAATTAGGTCAAATCTTAAAAGTTATGTATTACTAAAAGTAGGTGAAGTGACAGATAATCAGAGTTTAAATAAATACCATAAAAGTACGAAGGAAATGGAAAATAAGAAAGGGCGGGAGGGTTTTTACTTAAGCAGAATTTACCTAAGTGAGCAGCGGATAGATAAAGGCAGAACAAACTTGTTTTGTTATATGCAAAGACTAGAAGTGTTCTCTCAAATTGATTCCCATTGCTTCGGCTATGTGTTCAGCAGGCGGATTTGAATTCCGTTCGAAAGGTTGTTTGATGGAATGAGATAGATAAGGCACTTTGAAGACACTTCTTCTGCCCACTTG